AGGCACCCCTGACATGCCCCTGTGTGTCTTCCCCTCCAGGCAGGACGGGCCACACTTCAGCTGTCTGGTGAGTTGGGGCCCTGGGGATCAGGGAGGGTGGGGGACCCAGATGGCCCACCTTGACCTCCCTGCCTCAGTTTCCCCTTCCATTCCTTCCTGTCACTCTGTCTTTCTGACTCTCCCTCCATATCTCCATATCTCCACCTCACCTGCCCCCTCCCCGCCCCATATATGTTGCACAGAAGTTTTCCTGGTGTCTCTTTCCAGCTCTCAGGCCCTTGGCATGACAAGGGATGGTGGTCTCTCTGTCCCTGTTATGTATTTATTTTGAGGCAGGGGGAGGGGGGGAGAATCCCAAGCAGGCTCACGAACCGTGAGATCAGCACCTGAGCTAAAATCAAGAGTTGGACCCTTAACCAACTGAGCCAGCCAGGCACCCCAGTTTTTGCTTTTTTTTTTTTTTTTTTTTAACAAAAAATTGAGGTATAACACAAGCTGGTAAAGTGACAAATCTTGGGTACAGCCCAATGAGGTTTTACATCATGCACACACCTGTGTAACAGCTAACCAGAGCAAGATATAGAACATTTCCGTCCTTCTGGAAGATTCCCAACCAACAACCCCCTCCCCTGGATATTTTTCAACACAGATTAGTTGATTAGTTTTGTCTGTTTTCAAGTTGTATATGAAATACATCACGTAGGATGTCCCTTTTGGGGTCTGGCTTCCTTCATCAACATTTCAGTGTGTGTCAGGCATTGTTTTTGTTGTTGTTATTTTAAGTAAACTCTACCCCCAACGTGGGGCTTGAACTCATGACCCTAGAGCAAGTGTCCCATGCTCTAATGGTCTATTGACTTAGCCAGCCGGGTGCCCCAACGCTGGGTCTTTTTCCTTGCTGTATAGTACTCTGCTGGGGCCCCCCCTCCCCCGCCACACACACACACACACACACACACACACACACACACACACACAGACCTGTTCATCCATTCTCCTGTCCGTGGCACTTGGGCTGTTTCTCACTGGGAGCTATTTGAAAAGCTGCTCTGATTGTTCTTGAACAAGGCTATTGGGTGGACATACATTTTCAGTCCCTTGGGGGGAATACCTAGGCGTGAGACTGCTGCTACCTTGGGATGGCGTGTGTCCAGCTTTGGTCTTTACTCTCGTTGCTAAAGCAACACATGATTCTTGGGATGGATCAGAGTGATACGGAGGTGGATAAAAGAAGCGTCAGACTTTCTTTGCCTCTGTAAAAAACACTTCCGGCCCTGGGACAGGCAAGCCTGGGGGAATTCTTCCACACTTGCCCCAGGTGTTGGGGTTCCTGGGAGCCCACAGTCTTTAGAGGGTGCTGACAGTTGTGTGCCTCTCTGAGACCCCACGTCTCTGTGTTTCTGTGGGTCTCTGCCTGTATCTTTCCGTGTGTTGTGTTTGTGTCATTCTGTGTGTTCCTGCTGTGCGCTTCTGTTCCCTCTTCCGGCATCTCTGCATGTCTCTCTCTGCCCCTGTCTCTGGTGCCTGGTCTCTGTGTCTCTTGTGTTCTTCTTTCCGTGTGTCTCTTTCTCTCCTTCTCCCAGCCTCTTCCTTCTTCTCCCCCGTCCCTGTCAGAATCTTCCCGCTGGCCCATAATGGGGGTTGGGGGCTCCCCGAAGGCTGGGATGACCCCTCTTCTTCCCCCCGACCCCATCAGTACCCAGATGGCGTCTTCTACGACCTGGACAGCTGCAAGCACCCCAGCTACCCTGACTCAGAGGGGGCTTCTGGTGAGTGGCCCTGGCCTAGCCAATCCCCTGACCTGGACCTTGGGCCCATTTCACAGATGGGGGAGCTGAGTCCCAGGGGAGGATGTCACCTAGTTCGGCAGGACAAGGTTAGCCCAGGTCTCCAGGCCTCCTCCCCTTCCTTTTCTCACCCAGCCTCTTGCTCATGCAAATTCTGGGGTCTGGAGATTTGCATGGCCCACAATGGCCCCTCTGTGTAGGGGGCTTCGAGTGGGAGGGGCTGAGGCCAGACTTGGCTTCTGACTCAGTGCCCTCCCCCAGACTCCCTGTGGGGCTGGGACCTCAGTCCAGCTGTCCCAGCCGCCTCCTATGAAGCCTTCAACCCAGCTGTGGCCAACTTTGGCCACCCCCAGGGAGTCCAGCTCTGTTACGGACCCTCGACCTACAGCCCCATGGGGAGCCTCGACCCGGCCCCCAGCCTAGAGGCCCCAGGGCCCAGCTTCCCAGCGTACCCCACGGAGGAATTCACCAGCCAGGTGAGGGGCAGGGACACAATTAACATCGCCATCATTTGATTGAGGTTTAGCAGGTGCCAAGCAGTGTGTGAAGACCTCTAACAAGCCTCTGAGGTTAAGTGCCATTATCACTCCCCTGCACAGACCAGCCAACAGAGGCACGGGCTCTGACCGAGGGGCGGCGTAGAGTGCCATTCTCAGTGTTGGGCACACTTTCGTGGAGGCGGCCCGGGCATTCCTTGGCCATGCCTTGGAGATCTGAACCGAGGCCGGAGTGCAGGCCGTCAAGAGGGTGTGGGGGGAGGGGGGGACACAGTGGGGACCCACGAGGAGGAAGCTGAGGGAAGACAGCAGAGGGAGGGAGGGAAGGGGGTCCCTGGACTGCAGGTGACCCTGACCTTTTGCAGACCGTGGGCCCCCCGGCATATGCCCCCTACCCCAGCCCTGTGCTGTCGGAGGAGGAGGATCTCCTGCTGGACAGTCCCACCCTGGAGGTTTCAGACAGCGAGTCGGACGAGGCCCTCATGGCTGGCCCCGAGGGGAGGGGATCTGAGGCAGGTATGTAGGAGCAAGTGGGGTTGGGGGGGCTCCGGACACAGATGGGGGAGGGAGCTAAAGGAAGCATGGCTTGGCTTCCCAAGCGCTTACTACGTCCCCCAGCGTTGAGGGCCGTTCCCGGGTCCACCCTTGGCTGTCTGTGTGGCCCTGGGCAAATGACTACCTCTCTTTGCCTCGGTTTCCTATCTACAATGGGGATGGCAGGAAGTGTTTCTTCCTGGGGGTCGGGGAGATTAAGTGGGATAACCCAGGTGAGTGAGAGCAGCTCTTGGCACAGAGTGAGCAATCAGTAAGACTTCACCCTTATGATTGACACAATAGCAACAGAAATAATCATATCAACACCCGGCTATTCGGCCCCTGCTTCCGCCCAGGCGCCTGACGTGCATTATGCTCAACTCCTGGGAAATTAGGATCTTAGTTACTTTCCCTATCTGGGTCTCAGTTTCCCTTCTGTAAAGTGGGCAGCAGCAGCAGCGGCCCCAACTCCTAGTGTTACAGTGATTAAACGAGCTCACAGCACTAAGTGCTTCACAAAGGTTTGTAAAAGTAAAACACACACACATACACACGAACGGTTCATTTATAGCTGAGGAGGCTCCAGCTCAGAGAGAGGTTAAGTCACCACCTCAAGGTCACTGCTGGGAAATAGCAGACCAGACCTGGGGTTCTTGTACCCAGTGCCCTGCTATGAACCACCCCCCACCGTCTCCAGCTTGTGGAGCCCTTGCTGCTTGTAGGAGCCCCAGAGTCAGACCCCCTGGTCTCTTCCAGGATCCCAGTCCCTCAGGGGCCCAGAAACGGCTAGGTGAATTCAAACCCACTCCGGATCTCTTCGCCACCAGTCAGCTCCCTGTTTATATAACCCTTTGAGGAGCGCTGTCAGCCCATTTCACAGATTCATCTATAGGAGGGACAGAGCAAAGCAACAGCTTCAGGGGTAACAGCTTCAGGGAGGAGAGCAGGTTGCCTGGGGTGGGCGGGGACGCCGCACTGGAGGCAGGCAGACGCCAGCCACCTCCGTCGCCCCAGTTCTCCTGGCCTGGAGACTGAGGCTTGTTGGGGCTCGGGTTGAGGCGGGGGTTTGAACTGGGGTGGGTGTGGGGGCGGGGCCCAAGGGATACCTCCCCTAACGCACCCCCCCCACCCCGACCCCCCGGCTCCCCTCCCCCCCCAACAGGGGCCCGCAAGAAGCTCCGCCTGTACCAGTTCCTGCTGGGGCTCCTGACGCGCGGAGACATGCGCCACTGCGTGTGGTGGGTGGAGCCGGGCGCCGGGGTCTTCCAATTCTCCTCCAAGCACA